TATATATTATCATATATCCTGTCATATAAGGCTCTGTCATCTCAGGAGAGAGCCCCCCTCCCCCTTTACTCTTCTTGAGATACTCCAGCGGTAACTGGCCATTTTTGCTGACTAAATATATACATCATATTATAATATATACAGTTTATATACATAATAGATATATTTGATTTTTCAAGGTTGACAGCTTTAAAAACTAAAATTTTTTTAGGCATGAGTGTGGCTAGCTTTGCAAAAAATATTTTGTCAACGACCGTACAAATTGTCAAATATTTATACCTAATATCATCTGAATAACTTTCTTTTCCAGGTTCGACAAAATATTCAAATCTATTCGATTCTGGGCTAAAAAATTGGTCTTTAGTCTGTTGAGTGCTCTGAGTCACATTATGCTAATGTTTATTTACTGGGGTAAAGGTAAAACAGTTCCACCAGTCACGAATGATTTACTGTTGATGTCAGCGACAAGAGTTGCTGAGAAGATCAGAAATGGGCTGGTAAGTAGAAGCACAACACTTATTTGAAAAGCAATTTGAAAAAAAAACCCTCATAAATTAATAATAAAAATCGAATGACACTGTGTTGCTTCACAGACAGTTGAGGTTTGTAGGATGTTGGACTCGTATTCGGAGTATGAATCCCTTTGATCTAAGAAACCCCGCGTATCAAACGGTGGTTGGTACATTTTAAATATTTCGGGGTCGTAAAGTCCTCCAAGTTCATGCAATAAATCAATTCCTCTGGGGGTACTGAGTTGGAGATTGATCGTTCTCTTGTCAAAATTATGATCTGTGGATAAATGAATGAATCCGCCCCGTAAAACGGGCTGTGACGTGTGAGTAAGGCTGAAATCGTATTTTTGGCTAAAGATGGCGCCACTGAAAAACAAGAGACGCACCCTCTGCCTTAGAATCGCTTGGTTCTCCAAGCAGGCTTGCTGGTATTGGCAAGTGGCAATAGAAACAAACAAAAAACAACTTTCAATTGAAAATAATAAAGAAATCCTTTCCATAATCGTAGCTAATAGTAATTATAATGAAATTATTGGGGTTTTTTTTTAAATTTTACTTCAACTGTACTTAAAGTTTCAACCAGGGTCCTATTTGCAAGCAGAATGTCATTTTGACTCTTCTTAACTTTAACTCATCTTTGACTTTATTATAACCTATAACGTTTTTCTCGTTCGTCTTGTTGTTGTGAACCCAAAATCGGGTTGACTGTTAACTGACGGTTATAAAACAAATTGGTAGCTATTACCAAAATTAATTAAGCATTGGCGTCAATATTTGTATCATAACTTTTTTATGCTTCTCCTCAATAACTAATTATTTTCTTCGTTAGTTTCACTTTTTAGTGCGTGACTGATTTATTTTTAAAATTTCAATTTCTGAAATTAACCAAGCATCATTAGCATTAATATTAGTATGACGATTTTTTTTACGTTTCATCTAAACGGATTAGTGCAATTCCTCCCTTAACCTTTTATTTATGGCCGGCACATCATGTGGACCAGAATGACAAGTTTCATCACTCGCGACACGTGAATACGACCTCTAACGGGGAGGAAAATGTCAGGCTACTGTTTGTTAAGTCTTCATTCAGTCCCATCAAAATAACTCCATTGGTATAACGGGTTTTTTACCAGTAGCGAAAAGGAAACAAAATTTCCCATGAAAAAAGTTGAAGAACTTAGTAAAACAATCTAGAACATTAGTAAATCTGATCGGTGCTATTGGAAAATAGTACCCTGTCCATGCTATAGAAAAGCAGTCCTTGCTATGAGTCGCCATCAGATTGTTACTTTCATCAAAGAGTCTCTCTCTTGTCTTCTGGGTTGGATGAAAAATTACATAGCTAAGGAGTTGAACATTGATAGTCGTTTCCCCCGAAATAGGTCTGCTTCTCAACACCGGTTACAACATAAAAATGAAAAAGAAATGGCAAATTTTTTTACCAACTCACTTAACAAAAAATGAAGAACTATTTATTTCTCACAAACATGCTTTTACTTATAATACTATCACAACATACATTTCATCGCACTGATTGTTTTTTTTATCAGTTGAAAAGTGAGGATGTTGTGCTAGCTTACATCGAACGAATAATTGAAGTGGAAACTGACATCAATGCAGTGGCAGAGTACCGTTTTCAAGAAGCTATAAAAGAGGCGAAAGAAATCGACGCTCATATAAAATCTGGAAAGTATACAAGGGAACAGTTGAAAGAGGAAAAGCCGTTACTCGGGGTTCCATTTACAGTGAAAGTCCTTCTTAATGTCAAAGGTATAGTGTAAATGTATTTCTATCTAGCTATTTTACCAGCTCTTAATTTAGTAACATAAACATATTGAAAATATGGCACAATAGTTCATTTGTAATATGAAATTAATTCGGAAAATTAAATATTACGTTAGGTTTAAACATAGCTAATATTCATCTTTTTTACGGCTGTTAATATTCAAAGATTCCATGGTTCTTACAGCATATTAAAGTCAGAAGATATCTATGTTACAAATGTAGTGATTTTTTTTAAACATTTTAAATCCCAGTTAATGATATTTCTCATTCTCACAGATGGCGCTCTGAACAGCGACGTAAAAGTTAATTGTTATTCAGAATCAACAAAGACACTGTAATGATAAGATCAGTCTTCAATTGTTTATTAAATATATTTATCTGTTCAAAGGCATTTTATAAAGAATTATGCAACTTACTTAAACGGATTAATATGAATACGGATTCACAAATAAGGATAGACCCGAAATTTTCGAATTTCACATTGATCTGCCACTGCTAATTTCATAAAGGTGAGTGCATCTAATTTGTATAATAGATTAAATTAATGTTTTAAAAAAACAAAAGAAAAACAATGTGTTTTTTAAACACTCGATTAAGTAAAAAAGGTGAAGATTTAAAGAATAATGTTATCGTTACAGTGTCTAAGTTTATTCGATATAATAATGTACTTTTATATCACTGTGCAGACTTTGTCATCTAGCTGCGAAAAATTCATATCATTGCTGACATTAGGGCGGAATTCAGCTAAATTTTCGCAAATACGATGGCTCAATTACAATCAGGAGCCTGTATTTTTGTAAACATATAGCATTTTGCGATATGTAAAAATACAGGCTTTAGATTGGCCAAATTTGTCCATCGTAATTGCGAAAATTTAGCTGAATTCTTTACTTAGAAAGCCATGGATTTACGAAATGTGGATTGTGTTCATACGATAGATAAATGATAAGAAGCTAACATAAAACTGGCGGATTTTACACTGTACCGATATTTTGTTTAAAAAAAGCTCATTAAATAAGGAAACGTAATATAAACTTTTTATTTTATTTTGGGGCCCCTTTCATCATGTGGGGGCCAGCGGCAACGGCCTCACATGCCCCAGCCTCACTCAGGCTCTGGGTGAGGAAAATAACTTTAAATAAAATAATGAAAACTAAGAATTGCATTGAAATATAAACTTAGCTTTCACTTGAAGAAATGTTGCCCGATTGCTTAGAAAGTTGGCAACCCTGAAGTAGGCTTTGAAATCATAATCTAATCATTAAATTATTATCATTAAGTGTAATCATTAAAGTGTTATCTTTAAAAAGAAAAAAAAACCTAGTAGTAAAGCCAGAAGTAGCACAACTGAGAACCATAGTATTAGATGGCTGAATAATATTGAAAATTCAAAATTCCTAAGCAATGATGAGCGTCGTTGACCAATTTTTGAGAGGGGCTAAATTGAAATATAGTCACATAGTCTCAAACATTCATAAATTGAACAAAATTTTTCTTAAATTTGCTAACCATCTGCAAAAAGATTAATCTCTTTTTTGATTTTGCCTCTCATGAGCTAAAATCGACGATAATTCATGAAATTTTTTTCTTTTGTCTGAAATATTGAGGGGGTCTGAAAATAGGGACTAAATATCCACTTATTACAAAATATCCCTCCCCTCGTCAACGACGCTCATGACAACGCCTCATTGCTTAAGTGATTCTTATGTCGCTCGAAGCATTGACCGCAATGGTTAGTACGAGTTAAATCAGGTACAGTCGGGAAAAAAAATGATGGATCTCCGTTGCGAATTGTGAACCGTTGGCCGTATTTTCATTCTGCAAAAAGTTTCGGCAGTATCTCAAAAGTAAAAAAAAACTTTTAAAATATGCATAACAGTTATCAGGGATGCCACAGGGGAAAAAGTGGTAGAAACTAATTTCCCTTTCATTTATTTATAACTTCTTTAGTTATTAAAATCTAACTACCACTATAACATTTCAAATAATGATATTCATTCAATAGTAAAGTTAAAATATATGTTCTATAGAATTGCTTAATTCAGTTTCTTTTAATAAAAGTTTGAATTTTATTATTCAGTACCTTTTGCATTTTTGTCCCCCTGCAATTATAACAATAGTGGATTCTAATTTTGATGAGTATCACCTGCAACCAGATTACATAATATATTGGCTCTTATGGGGTTTGCAAAGAAAAATGGACCGGGATAGCCTGGTCGGTAGGGCTCAGGTCCGAGAGTTCGTGGGCTCAAACCCCGCCGGCCGAAGACTCCCCGTGTAGTAAAGTGACTGATGCACGTTAAATCTGTCGAGTCGCAAAAGTCCTCCATGTTCCCATAACAAATCAATACCTCTGGGATGGCGATCGATCGTTCTCTGATTCTGGTCAAAATTACGATCTGTGGATGAATGAATGGGTCCTTCCTATAAACGGGTGCGACGTATGGTGTGGCAGAATTCTTGGCCATAGATGGCGCCACTTAGAAACAAGAAACGCACACTCTGCCTTAAATTTGCTCGGTTTCACCTAGCAGGCTTTCCCGTGTGGCAAGTGATATTATAAATAATGACAGCAACAAAAAAGGCAAATTATTGCACGGAAGCATCGTTTGGTAATCGTGATCATCCTAAGATTAAAATGAAATTAATGAGTTAAAATTTTTAAATTAAATAAATAGTGGTAGTAAAATTTTTATTATATTTATTGTGTTACTTGCTTTTTATGCAGGGTGAAGTATATGAAACTAAATAAAAAAAATAAAAAAGTAATAATAAGACCGCTAACAAAAACAAGGAAATGAGGTATCTTCCTTAATCTATTACTGGTTATTTGAGTTCAATTGCCTGAGTGGTCTTACCGTACATTCTGGGCCCAACTTAGCCAAATTGGGACAAGGGGGCAAGAACTTCCTTGGGGGCCTTCTCTGCTTCAATAATGAAGAACCGATATTTCTGAAGGTATTTAAATTTTCACCTCATTATAGATAGCAAGAAAATTAACTAGAACCTAAAATAGCTATAAGCTCCCCCCACCTCCAATGGTCAGACGAAATATCGTCCTGTCCATTTTATTGATTTTCTGACAATTCTATGTCCACCATGCCGAGCGCAGTTTTCTGATTGTTAACTTTGCCATTTAGCTGCCAAAAATTCATAACCTTGCTGACATTAGGGTTGCATTCAGATAAATTTTCACAATTATGATGTCTCAATTGAGCCTGTATTTTTGAAAACCTATCGCATTTTGCGATATGTAAACAAACAGGCTTTAGATGGGCCAAATTTGTCCATCGTAATTGCAAAAATTAGCTGTATTCCGCCCTAAAAAGCTAGGGATATACGAAATATAGATTTTGTTCATACGATAGATTGAATGAAGTTGCAATGACGAAGCTAACATAAAACTGACGGACTTCACATTGTACTAATATTTTGTTTTAAAAAAAGTTCATTAAAGGAGGAAACGTAAAATAAACTTTCTGTTTGATTTCCCCCCCCCCCCTCATGTGAGGACCCGGGACAACTACCCGTATGCCCCTGTCTTAACCAGACTCTGCGTACATTGTCATGCTGCAAATGTGTTATTAATGAAATGTTTTTTTAAGGAAAGTTATTTACGTTTGCTAAAATTAAATGCAATTTAGATCTTTCATTCAAAAGCCACATGAAACACTTGTACCCACTTTTTAAATATTTACTGATGGTGACCTCCCTGTTAACGCAGAGAGTCTCTTTTATTCTGGATTGAGTTCAAACCTGCAAGGTTAGGGTTTGGTAGGTTAATGTGCTGAACAAAAAAATGCTAGTACATCAACCCCACTAACGTGGTTATCCTGTTGGTCTGTAATTATATATTAAAATACAAGTATTGAGACGACTTTACAACAGAGAGCTTTTGCGAAGTGATACGTTACCCACCAACTCAAATATGAACGCTGATTGTGATTAATAACGTATGCGCATATATATTTACCTGTAAATTGCTATGTCGCTAAAGGGTATAAAATTAGGTTGACGTAACAGTTAACGCAATGTTATGTAAAAATCTCTTTGTTGAAATAAAATGTTTAATGTGGTTACAAAAATGAGAAATCTAGAAATTTTCACTGACATTCAATTTCTAATAATTGGGTGCTTGAAACTGGAGAAGTGTGTGATTATGCTCAACCATGTGATTTCAATCAGATTTAATTTGATACCATGCAAGTGACATCAAGCGTATATGTCGAACCTGATTGACTTTTGGAATCAACAAATGCCACGATTCATCTGCAATGACCTTACTTGCAAGTATTCAATTGTGTCTGATATTATGGCGATTTTTAAGCATTCTTCTCTTTACAGGAGTTCCTAATACTGGCGGCTCTTTAATGTATAAAGATTCACCTTCAGCTACTACAGATGCTCCAACAGTAGCTCTAATGAAATTTGCCGGAGCAATTGTTTTAGCCACTAGCAATTCAGCAGAGCTAGGTCTCGGCTTCGATACAATAAATCTGTTGTACGGGAAAACATGCAACCCATATGATACAAATAGAACAGCGGGAGGAAGCTCAGGTAAAAGTTCATTTAAAAAATATATATAAAATTTAAGATACAAACGCGGTAATAGTGAAAATTGAAGAGACATTGCCATGCAGTTGCTGCCGGGAGCAGTTTCTGCGGTTGGAGGTAAATTACCGCTAATCAAGTAGGTTAAATGAAGACAGTATACTGTAATCTTGAATATCGAAGTGGAAGTGCATAGATTACCAGATGGGAAATGGAATCTTTCTTATAAATTTAGTAAGTTGAAGGATCGAGTAACAAATTAGCATGCGGATCAAATGCTAAACTATAAATAAAGAATTTTAAAAAAATATAAATGAGAAAAAAATAATAAAAAATAATTAAAAAATAAAAAAGAACTCTTTAAGTATTAAACTTAAAAAATAGACTCTATAAAAATTGAACTCAGTAAATTGATTGGAAGTACAGACAGGCACCCGATCATGTTTCAAGGTGATCCAACTGTATCTTCAAAGTTTTGATCAAACAGTGCTAAAGCTAAGCATTACTTGTCTGGTTACTGAATAATCTATCAATGTAAGTGCTTCCCCTTTAATTTCTTTTTAATGTTTTTCCTTTTTGAGATTTTAGGAAGTTATTTCCTGTTACAAACTTTTCGGCTTGTCATATGTAGTGGTAGGTGATATTTAGTATGTTTTTCCTGTTAATGTTTTTCTTTTTTCTCCTGTTGTAATCATTTCAGTACTCTTATGAGGTAATAATTTATTTTCTTTCATTGCATCTCGAAAATTTTTCTCCAAATACATATATCGTTAGGAGCCATAACTATATAAGAAAGCATTATCGGAAATAGATAGGTTGAGTTGGAGCATTTGGACCGGAGTTCCTCGTGAGTTTTTTTTTTCTCTCGGGTGACAGGAATAACATTGCGTACGGCACACCACCCGTAAATTCTGAAATGGATCTGGAGGCATGAATCTCATCACTGCAGCTACGATTAATGAAACGCAAGGTGTCTGCGAAAATATTCGCTAATCCATGGCGAGTAAGTGGCGTGCGTGCATCCAAGCCAATGGACGCGGTTTCAAGCACCTCCTGCTCTACTTGTAAGATTAACTTCCCCCTGTCCCGCTAGTGGCCGTCCTGGGAATACTGGTGAGTCGAAATGCTCTTACGTGGCTACCCAGCAGATAGATGGGACCTTTTTGTAGTGGCTTGGAAACGATTTTAAGCAGCACAATCGGTCGACGGGCATTGGCCCTTGATTTGGGCGAGTCCAGCCAGCGCCTCCTATGACTGAAAGCCTCTACGCGGTTTTTTATAGGTAGTCCGATCAGACCACTGTGTAGGATATCCATTTACTGAACGAGTCATTTAATACAGAACATAGTTAAAATAAGAAAGTGGTAGCAAATATATAACTAAAAATTAATTTTATTTATGAATATTATTGGTTCGCCTTATTCACTTGTCAACCACTACAGATTCAATTCTCAAATATATAAGACAAATTTCTCTCAATTACTTTTTATAAAAGGTTTTGGGTTCATGCGCACAACTGGCTCACTTTTTAAACAGTCTGCGAGGACTACTTATAAAAAACAGTGTGGAGGCTTCTTGGTGTAGGAGGTGATGGTCCAGCCCATGCGGATGGAATGCACGGCCGCTCGTTAAAATATTAATCGTTTATGCATTTATATATAACATGTTGGTGACGAGTTACTTACTTTGGTACCAGTCCTGGTGCCGTCACGTAACTCGGCAACCACTTAACTTTATTAAAACAAAAAAGAAACATTACAAAAATCTAGCAAAGAAGAGGTGGAAATTGAAAACAGTGAAGTGAATAATTACAGATTTAAAGATGAATATACCATAAAATGTTCGTTCTTGAAGGCATAGACGTTTAATTTTTCTATCAGCAGTAGCACTTGTACATTTCTTTCGGCTTGATTTGGTTTTATTTTCCACTGATTTCGTTTTTTCATAACGTAAACAGAATTTTCGTACACCAGAACGAGTCACTGAACCACCAACTTGTCTTGCAATTTCAGCAGAAGAGAGGCCATTTTCTCTCAATATGACAATTCGGCTTCTTTTTGTAGATGTCCAATTGGTTCTTCTTGTTGATGACATTGTTTAAAATTAGTTTAATTAAAAAAAAAGCACTTTAAATATTCAAACACAGCAATACTCTATTTAATTGTACTAGTATGCATCATTCCGCAAAATATTTCCTCAAAAAATAAGTCTTTTACCATCCAAATAACCTAAACTATAGTTACAGACATTTGATTGGTCTTAAGAACAGTGTTTGTGATTGGCTAGTACGCTTTTACTAAAAAACACGTCCCTATTTAAAATGATTGGGCAGAGCCCCTGAATTAGACAGGCCGACTTATCATTTATTTTTGGAGCAAAGAGTTAACATAAGCACATAACATAACTAATACTAACATAACGTTAACTTGCGAACTTGTTTGCTCCAATATTGTTTGATAGGTCAGCTCTGATAGTATAGGAGTCTTAGATTTGTGTTTGTTCTACTAAAATGAGCATAACTTTTCTTGTAATACAGATATTTTAATTTTGTCTTGTTATTAAATTCTACATTAAATTAGCTTCAATTTGATGTATAAACGTTTGTATTTAATTGAAAATTAATATATTCTACAAGCACGCAAAGTTGAAAAACATGAAACTTTCAAAAAATGTTATCACTTTTGGCCCCACTGTATATATATATATATAACAAAATAAATAAATACAAGAAAACACGAAGAAAGTTAAGAAAAACAATAAGTTTCATTTATTGCGCATAAGCTGCAAGTAAACAGAACTCATTAGATAAGTTCAAAATGAAGATAAAACAAAGGAAAATTATAGACATATGAAAAAAAAGGGGGGGAATAATAATGAAAAAAATATAACAGACAACTGATTTAAAAAAAAGGAGGACATTTTTAAAGAAAAAAAACGGAAAATAAAAGATATAATCTTTTCATCAGCCCACACGATTATATCCGCAAAAAAGAGTGCATTCTGATATTGTATCAATACAGCGTTTGACCACGGATTTGCTTGAATTGGATTTGCACATGGAAAAATTATACAAATTAACAAAGAAATCATTTAGTAAATAATTTTAGCAACGGATTTACCCGAATTATAAATTAACGAAGAAAATGTTTACTAAATATATCCACAAAAATACACGATTAATTCAATGATTTTATATAAAATTTTATTATTTTAATTGAGTATCCATTGTTTTTTATAAAATTTTGAAAGAGTTTATCGATTTGTTTTTTGGATAAATGAATATTACTACATATTCTTTTAATTCTGTTCATTTCATTAAAGTGGTATTTAAATAGATGCTCCTAGAAACATTTGAATTCCAAGTAATTAGTTTATTAATATTAAAATTAAAATAATTTCTTTTATCGTACAAATCAACAAAGCAGATATTTTCAACCTTTATAATACGCAAATCCAAAAAATTGAAATCAATATTATACTCATGATTACAAAGCAAGATTAATTCCTCAGGATAAATATCATTTAATAAAATAGTAAAATCTTGAAAATTAAAGATAATTAAGTCATCAATATATCTAAAAGCAAATTTAATACTAAGAGTATAATTTTTTTCATAATAATGCAAAAATAATCGTGTGGGCTGATGAAAAGATTATATCTTTTATTTTCCGGTTTTTTTAAAAAAAATTTCCTCCTTTTTTTTCTTTTCATTTTTTTTAAAAAATCAGCTGTCTGTTACTTTTTTTTAATTATTATTTCTTCCCCCCCTTTTTTTCCATATGTTTGTAATTTTCCTATGCTTTATCTTCTTTTTGAACTTATCTAATGAGTTCTGTTTACTTGCAGCTTAAGCGCAATAATTATTGTTTTTCTTAACTTTCTTCGTGTTTTCTTGTATTTATTATATATATATATAATAATAATATTTCGTGTTTTGATTTAGAACAAAAAAAGCTATAATATAGATTGCAGCATAAAAGAACTTTGAACACAGATACAAAAGGATCGTCGATTTTTAAATTGGTCAAAGACTATTTTGAGGTAAAAGAAATTTCACTCACAAATGTAAGTGCTTGTGCAACAGATGGTGCTCCAACCATGTCTGGTTGTCATACTGGGTTTCTGGGTCACCTTAAAAAAGAAGTACCGGAAGTTATCTCACCATTCATTATGTCATTCATCGTCAACTTTTGGCTCCGAAAAATTGGTTATTTCTGGCATCAATAAAATAAAAGCTAATTCTCCTAATAACCGTTTGTTCCGAGAACTTTGTCATGAAAATGATGAAGATTTCAAATTCTTGCTCCTACATGCAGCTGTGAGATGGCTTTCAAAAGGAAACTGAGCCGTTTCCTCGAATTGCTGGATTCGGCTACTGAGTTTCTCGACACCACTGATCCTATTTTAAGCGAGAGTTTGAAGCAACGCAAGTTGAAAACTGCGTACCTCACGGATAGTTTCGAAAAAATGAACGAAATCGAAGTAAAACTGTCTCTCAACTCCCGGACCAAAATCCAATCCCTCTTAATTCTTCCAAGCAACTAACAGATTCTAGCAGTTTGCTCCAACCTTGTGATATCTACTCAGCCCCAACCTGAATTGAGCCTTACCTATTGAAACGCAGAGCTATAAGCGATAAGCAGAGAGCTCGCCGCACTTAACTATACTCAATACTCTAAGTAAAACTTCAAGGAAATAAAATGAACATTATCAAGGCTAAGGGAATCATATCTTCATTCATTGCCAAGTTTGATATCTACAAGTCAAACATTGGTCGCAAAGAGCTAATGCAATTTCCAACNACCACACTCTTTTTATTCAACCCTTTCGCGCCGACTGTCACGAATAAGTGCCAGCATAAAACCGTATCAAAAAGGGTAAAAAGATAAAACTAGTAATCAAAGTAATTCTTTAGCAGTTCATTTGTGGGTGGAGTTATAATTGCTTGATTTATTTAATTCACCATTACTTTGTTCAAAATAAAAGTATTTAGTTTTGCTTTGAATTAACATTGATTATATATATGATTAAACTAACAATAATTAACCCCTTGAGGACGGGTGATTCAGAAAAGCATTCGTACAAAATCAGGGTCAGGACGTAATTAAATAAAAAACGGTAACTTAAATGTAATCGTTTCTAATTTGACAGACTTATTTTGCTTTTACTTTAATTATTGTTAGTTTAATCCAGTGTTTCTCAACGGGGGCGATAACGCCCCCCTGGGGGCGTTGGGAGTATGCTGAGGGGCGGTGGACTTGTTTTGGGCGGCAGGGGGGGCGTTAGGTATGTTTTGGGTGGTAGGGGGCGATGAGCAGGTTATGTTATTCAAATCTAATTTTAATACTCCCAAATAAAATTATTAAATTAAGAATCATTTAGTAAATAAAATTAATCTGAAATTAATGATAAGGAAAAAAAGATTAAATTAATATAATAAATTTAGATTATCTGATACAACATTAGTACCAGCAGTAAAACGAACTTATGCAACACATATTCTCCGATCCGAATCACCACAGCACAGCGCATGAGTCAGTAGTTTTTGCCTCTGACATTCAAGCCATTTGGGGAAAATTAAAGTGCACGCACTTTTTGTAAAAATGTTCGATTTGACCAGTGTTTCTTATGATGGTTTAGTTTGCTTCCTAGCAGTTTTTTATCCAGTTTCGATTCGATTTCATTGTTTATTTGGCCAGGTACGTTTGTGAATTAGCTCTTAATCGTAAATTATTTATTAATTTGAAAAAAACAGTTGATTTTCTTTCATTTGTATTTTGCGTCCACCAACAATGTCGGTTAACATAAAGAAGTATATTCCATACAGTGCCACGTACGTGAAGTTTAGATTTGTTCAATCGCTGTCGAACTCTCAACTACCCATGAATTTATTTTATAACAAAGTTTAATATAATGAGACAATGGAGCCTTCCCGTTAGCAGAAGCATTTGCAAAATATTCATTCTCACAAGCAAAATAAGGATTTGTCATTTTTCACGAACATCAAAGACAAGTTTTTGAAGGCACCTTTGGCCTCTGGCTTACTAACAACCTAATCACAAAAATGCGATGATGGTTTGATAAGTTCTTATGATATATCAAAATTAATTGCTAAATCTGAGAAATGTCATACCATCGGTAAAGAATTGATACTGCCGCTGTTAAGGAAGTTTTAGGAACAGTTTTACACTATCCAGCCTCATCCGATTTAATCAAAAATATCCCTGTGGGTCGGCATGGTGGGTTGTTCGCCGTTTTGAAGAGGGTGGTACCAGATATTTTAGCAGTTCACTGCGTGATTCACAGACAGTATTTAGTAAGAAACAATCTCAGCGACCGTTTGTATCAGTCATTGCAATATGTCATATTTGCTGCGAACAAAATTCGCAGTAATGTTCTCAACGATTGATTACTCAGACAGCTGTTTAAGAAAAACTATGAAGAATATCGTTTGCTACTACACCGTGATTCGCTGGCTTTCCAAAGGAGCCTTGTCTCAATGGGTTTTTGAATCTTTTCAACTCTGTGCTTGAGTTCCTCGTAGACAGAATGTAGCTCTGAGAGACAGATTGCTAGAATTTAAGATAGACGTTGGTGGATTTATTTGCAAAATTTAATGGCGTTAATTTGCAACTACAAGGTGACAAACTCAATTTGATCCCTACGAAATCAGTTATTTCTGCATTTCTAAACTTTTTTTTGGAAGCAGAAATTTGGTAGGAATGAGTTCAACCAATTTCAAATCTTATCGTATCTTGAAAAGAATGGCGAAATTTTCTCTGATGATACACAAGAATATAGTTAACACCTTGACTCTTTGCACATGGACTTACCGTTATAAATATGTTTTGTTCTGGAAGTCCTTCAATGGGTTATGAACCCTTTTTTGAAGATTGAAACAGAAGAGGTTCAGATTCAGGAGGAATCGGGCAAACTTTCAACTAATGAAGCTTTGAAATGGTGATAACTCACACAATTTTGGCTTCAAGGTAACATCAGTCGCCTCTACTCTGGACTGTCAAAATTCATTCTTATTTTCAAAATTATTTTTAATTTCCTTCCCTTTCTCTGACTTCGTCGAACGTGGATTCAGTGCTGTTATGGATCAAGTCACAAAAAAGAGAAATATACTCGAAATCATGCAACGAGGGGACTTGCGTCTTCACCTCAGTAAAAATACTGAACCGAACGTTAAGAAATTAGCTATGAACCATCAAGTACAATCATTCCACTGACATAGTAACTTGATTGTTTCGTTAATACTGCTTTTATTTTTGGGTGTTTTTTAATTATCTAATTAAGAAAAAGTGACTCTTTTTAAGCATAGTTTTCTTTGTTAAACTTTTTTTTTCATTACCGTATTTATTTTTATTATGACAAATAGACTGCGATTACTTGCCGGAAGAAAATTATAGAGTTAACGTACACATTAAATTTTTTTTTTTAAAAAAAAACATGCAAATTTACTTAAAAAATTGCCTAAAATGCATCTTATAATTCAGCACCCCGCCCCCCCGTCCTCATGCTCTAAATAACTGGATTATTGCAAAGGGGGGCGTTGATATGTTTTTTGCTTATTAAGGGGGCGGCAACGTTAAAAAGGTTGAGAATCTATGGTTTAATCATATATGTAATCAATGTTAATTCAAAGTATAACTAAATACTTTTATTTTGAACAAAGTAATGGTGAATTAAATAAATCAAACAATTATAACTCCGCCCACAAATAAACTGCTAAAGAATTACTTTGATTACTAGTTTTATCTTTCTACCCTGGTTGATACGGTTTTATGCTGGCACTTATTTGTGACAGTCAGCGCGAAAGGGTTAAAGTAAAAGCAAAGTAAGTCTGTCAAATTAGAAACGACTATATTTAAGTTACCGTTTTTTATTTAATTACATCCTGATTCTGATTTTGTACGAATGCTTGTCTGAATCACCCGGTCCCCAAGGGGTTAATCGCCACTGATTTGGAATAGCGTTAAGTGCAACAAACTCAACACGTTTAGGATGATATAATTTTTTTAGAAAAATTTGAATATAAATTAAAAGTTGGCATCACGAGGTTTTAGTTAAAAACGCTTTTCTTTCCTCATTCCAATAAGTGAAGTTACGAGACAATAGTTGTTAGTGAAATTTTTATTTGATTTTGAAAACATTTTAAATCTCTCTACGTTAAAAAGTTGTAAGAGCCGCCGCTGCTTCATTTGTTCAATTTAATGTTGCATTTTGTTTTGATGCGCAAGTACTATAAGACTTAACTCTTTCGCGACGAGTTTTTTTTTAATAACAGAACAATTTTGGTAGCATAAACTATGAGTAGGGCAGCATTATGCACGGTAGTGCCATCTATGTTCTGTGAATGAAAATACCTTTAAGAATATTGGCAGGACTGGTGGGAAAGTCTCCCCATTAGACAGAGAAGCGTTTCTGTCCCAAAAGATTTTTTTTGAAATTTGCATAGGACGTATGTGTCCCGTTAGGCGCGAAAGGGTTAAGAACGAACTAGGAAATTGAAAGAGTATTAATGAAGGGATAACGAAGGAATAAAAAAATAATCATTCAATAATAAGTTCAGGAATTATTAAGTGTTAAACTCGTAGGAGCGCATACCAAACGGGCCCCTTTACAAGACGCAGAAATGCAACGACAGAGTTTAAACTTGACATGCTGAAAGGGTCATATATATTTATGAACTAAATGAGAATTTTTTTCAAAATTCTAATTTGTACAAAAGTAAATGCATAATTGATTGTTTTTTTTTCTTGTGCGTATGTGAATTTGTTCTTACTATTTTTTGTGTTCCGTCACAATGTTCTTTACCGTGTAAAAACTTTGAGACTGAAAAGCTAAAAATCACAATAGTGTCTGGAAAAAATTAGGAAGAAATTGATCAAATAAAAAATTTCATGATTCAATAATAACTTTAAGAATCATTAACTGTTAAGTTAGAAGTTAAAAAAATTATGTTAGCTGATACCTACTGCCAGCTAAAATAAAACTACACAGTTGAAATTCTCCTTGTTGATTGAACCATTTTAAATTACAACGAAAATTTTTTTCATAGTCTTGCATTGAAAGTTTCTACAATTTTAACTCATTTCTGAACGGAAAATTTCTGCTAAAAGTTTGGTCAGGCAAAGCATTACGCAACTGTGACCTAAGACAGCACATTCTAAGTGAAGAAACATGCTTTAGCTCTTTGTTCTTTTTAGAATAGTGATTAAAAGCAATTAGTTTTACATTTTAATAATTTGTAATATTTATTGAATTCATGTTGTCAGACTGTCTATATTGTACCTGAAAGGGTAAGTATGTTTAAGAATTTTTTATTCTTTAACACGTTGAGCGCCGCGTCGGCCATCGGTGGCTGACACTGGTCTTTCCATTTAGGCCGCGTCAACCACCGGTGGCTGACACTGAAATTACATTTAGGCCGCGTCAACCACCGGTGGCTGAGACTGAAATTACATTTACGCCGCGTCAACCACCGGTGGCTGACACTGACCTTTCACATAGGCCGCGAAAAACAGCTGGCTGACAGCGTATAGCATGATATATAAAATTTACACTCTTTTATGGAATTGCAGAAAATGCATTCAAAATTTACTTAATTATTGTGATTCTTGGTTTAATAAATTCAGTTTACTAGGTTTTCATCCACCACTTTTTCTAAACAATTCGTAGGCTTATATATTTCACCACTTTTTTCAGATACGTCGTGTAAATCTTTCAAAAACTAGCAAACTCCGTCTCATATTTGCAAATTTAGTTTGTAGTTATTTACCGTCGTGGCCTAACGGGCAAGACATGTAAAATTAGCTTGGAGCTCAACGTGTTAACTAACAATTATTTATCCATTGCTGTAGAAAAATTTCGGTCTTTAGCTTTTGTGTTTTATAAGTTCTCGCTTGAGTGGATGTCAACTGCTCTGGATAGGATAACACGGTTGAGAACTACTTTAGCTAAAATTTCAGATTTTTGGTTAATTTTGCAGCCAGTTTATAAGGTTTAACATCTCTTAACTTCAATGAAGTTGCCTATCGGATAAGCCTTTGAAGTATTTAGAAGGTGGTGAGTAAAAATCCCATAAATCGAATTCACTATTGCCCAGAATCATACATTAAAAGACTACTACTCGAAAATATTTATTCCTTGTCCGGAGAGGAAACTAGTAGAAGGTGAGATGGAGTACCTGGTCAGTGAGGTTACCTCCGTAAGGAAGTAGTGACTAGTACCTGTAGATGTGAGAATGCAATGAAGTTGAAGAACGAGTATGTTATATTTCTCCATATGCTGGACACTCGAAGGTAAACAGGTAAGAAACATGATTCACAGTGTTCCGACTTCTTTTCTGAAAAGGAAGTATACACCGAAGAGCCATTACATTATGACCACCCTCCATCTAACAATGGGCTCGCCCAGGTGTTCATGGTTTCTCGCTTAGGAACAATGTTTTCATGGGGCACATTAGGACCCATAATCCTCATAGAACAATCCCTGACGTCTGTAAGCTACTTGAACATAGTTGCAGACCAGGTTCACCCATTCATGGCAACAGTTTTTCCTGCGGGGGATGGTGTTTACCAACAGGATAATGCACTATGTCAAAAGGGTCGAATCGTCATAGATTGGTTCGAGGAACATTCCAGTTACTTTCAAGTCATGTCTTGGCCCTCAAATTCACCTGACCTTAATCTAATAGAGCTTCTGTGGTCCTACTTGGAAAACCAAATTCGTGCTGCCACTCTACCCTCTCGCAATGTGAAGGAATTGCAGGACCAGTTGCTGAGTGCTTGGTACCAGATACCTCAAACTACTTATGAGCACCTTGTGGAATCAATGCCACGGCGGGTGCTAGCAGTTTTGAGGGTTAAAGGTGGTCCTACATATTGTTAGCAGGGTGGTCATAATGTAATGGCTCTTCGGTGTATATACTTATGTTAAGTGATAAATTACATTCTTTCAATTCTAATTTATTGAATTATAAATTATAAATACATTACCTTTTCTACTAGGAAAATATTTTCTGGAAACTAAGGAGAATCCGCAGTAAACGGCGTCTATATACTAATATTTAAATTGAAAAGAATTTTTGCAGTTTATTTTTAATAAAAATATTACCATTTCAAGAATTACTGTTAAGAATATTGTTTGGTTAAAAGCAATGAAATCTTAAACAGAATTTATCTAGTAGAAATGTGTTAAAGAGGTTTTTTTTTTAAGAAAAAAATTTGATTCATAAATTTAGCAAACATTTTATAAATGTGACTTAAAATTATGCAATTTTTTTCAGTGTTATGAGAACAGGATTTTCGGTTGCGCACAAATTTCTCTTTTTGATAACAGTTTTGGAATATTTTAGGTTTAGTTCCGAATGGAGGATGTATTATAAATCCAACTGAAGAAACCTCAAAATTTCTCGAAACTGGACCAATGTGCAGATACATAGAAGACCTAGTACCGATTATGAAAATTCTGACTACGAACAGCACAGAGAAACTTGACATCGAGCGTAAAGTAAGGAAATTATTTCCTCAGTTTATTACTGAATATTATGTGACACGCTACATTATAACACACTCATTATTATCACAGCAAATTGAATATTGAGTTACCTGCGTTCACCATCGCCATTATTTTCTAAATTATCAGCTACTAACTTTGAACTAAATTCCTCTATTTCTAAGTTCCTGTGGACCTTGAAAAATTTCAGCAGTGGTAGTAAATTTAGTTTAACGCCAGAAGATATTTCTTATTTTAACATACAGCTTTGTCGTTAAGTGATTTAGAAGGTCCTAGTCCTAGTGTTTCGATTTTATTGGGCACCTGGGCCGCAAAGCGACTCCTATCCCTTTCATCTGGAATTTTAACACTGTTTTGGTTGAGCATTGAGGTAAGCCAACGCCTCCTATAACTGAAAGCAGGTCGTCCGATCAGACCACTGTGAAGGATATCCACTTACTGTACGAGTCATTTAATACAGAATATAGTTAAAATAAGAAAGTGATCGTAAATATGTGACTAAAAATTTATTTTATATATGAATATTACTGGTTTGCCTCATTCACTTGTCAACCACTACAGATTCAATTCTCAAATATATAAGATAAATTTCTCTCTATTACTTTTATAAAAGGTTTTGGGTTCATGAGCACAACTGGTTCACTTTTTAAACAGTCTGCGTGGACTACTTATAAAAGACCGTGTGGAGGCTTTTTGATGTAGGAGGTGATGACCTCCCTATTGGAAAAAATTCCCAGTACAAAAAATTTTATACCGGTTTATGAAACACCGGTTCCGGTATGATACTGGATCCAGTATAATACCAATCCCAGTACCATACCGGAACCGGTGTTTCATAAACCGGTATCAAATTGATCCCAGTATGATACTGGAACCAGTATCATACCGGAACCGGGGTTTCATAAACCAGTATCAAATTAATCCTAGTATGATACTGGAACCAGTATCATACCGGAACCGGTGTTTCATAAACCAGTATCAAATTGATCCCAGTATGATACTGGAACCAGTATCTTACCGGAACCGGTGTTTCATAAGCTGGTATAAAATTTATTCCAGTATGATATCGAACCCAGTATCACTAGTGTACTGCACCCAGTAAACTGGGATGATGTAACTATTTATTTTTAACACAAGTATAGTGAAGTACTACAGTTTCATACAGGAAGGTTAGTGAACTGCGCTGAATGGGAAAATAAAACATTGATACGAGTAAATAAATAAAGTTACCTGGTTCATACAGGGAAATAAAACATCCCCTATGAAACATCAATTCACACTTTGTCAAAAGCTATAGTTTGCATTAGGTTAATAAAAATCAAATAAACTGTTTTTTTTT